CCAAGTCATCACTAAAATCCGAGTGTTAATCTATTTTTCATAAGCATTTAAGCTTAACAGGGCTGTATTGTAAATTCAACCCAATGAAAGTCGCACACAATATAAACGAATATTTGGGGTACATTTATAGAAACTTTCACTAATACAGAAGCATTCATAGAATTTTTCGAAGCAACCGAACTCAGTTTAAAATAGAAAAATCTTTAACCTGGCAAGTCGGAGCAATAAAGTGCATAACTTCAACACTATTAAGCCCAGTCGATTGAAACTCATACTCAATATGGACAAAGGTTTGCGGCAGATTTGGTACCAATTTGCTCTAGTATTAAAAAACCCTCCGATTTTTCATAAGCTTTAAACTTTGAGGAACATTTTAAAAAATCTTGCACACAAACTATGTAAGACAAATTTGCAACTGCAAAATCTGGGAAATGTTTCTTGAAAACACCAGTTGGTCTTTGTTCCGATGTTTAATTCAATATTGCGTAAAAACCTAAGTTAATTAACGCAAAACAAGGAAAACTTTGCGGAGTTTATAATGCGGTTTTTGCAAATGTTAACTTGCGATTTGTGCGGATTTTATAAAGAGAATTTTTTTGCAAATGCTAAGTAAATTTAAAACATATTTTAATTGACTAATTACTTACAAGGTTTATCTTGCATCCTTGTATTATTTATATTTCATTTTATCATTCAGGTACTGATTTTTCTAACATTTCATTCTTTCCTAGGGAGTTTTGGATTTGCAAATAGAGTTTTCCTTTTCCTTTTCTTTCTACGCAGAAATAAATGTAGGGAAACTCATGTTTTGATACATTTTTAACCGTTTTCCATGCACGTTATGAAAGGCTCCGGCGTTTTCTGATCTAAATCTGAGAGAATCAACTTAGCTTTCTACAAGCCGGAGTCTCGTTAAAAACTTCGGTTTTGGGATGAAGATAGTCGCAGTTTTTTAAGCATAAAATCTCAAAATCATCAAAAATGTAATTTCCTGTTCGATTATGTAATTATTTGGAGCCTCCCTCTATTCCACGCACAGAGTGATAAAGCGACCACAAAAACGCTAAAAAATGCTTATTAAGAGGCTTCAAAACCCTTAGTGTTTCCTGATTATTTTCGAGAGAAAAAGGAACAATTAGTCCACTTACACGGGATAACTCCAGCAAACTTTTCGGGATCACTATTAATCAGTCTGTTTTTCAAAGTGCGTCTGCCGACGCCTTGAGTTCCGATCAAAACCAGCGTTTTCCTCTTGAATGGCGGCATCCTGGTGACTTCTTCATACAGCAGAAGTTCAGCCTTATCGAAGTCGCAATTGCTCTTGGACTGGTAGTTGATTTTTTTCTTTTTCCTCGAAATCCTTGCGCCTATTCAGCCATTGCATAATAATAATAATAATAATAATAATAGAGAAACCAGTGAGCTTCTAGTCACTTACCGCATATGCTAATTTTATGTACAAAGTCGTTTTCTGGAGCCACATAAGCTTTGCGTCGCTCTTCCAGCTCCAGCGAGGGAATTAATCCGGTTTTGTTGTCTCCTCCGACTTTTTTCGCCTGCCACCAGTTGGGGTCTCTTTGATCCACTATCTGCAAAATGTCTCCTCGATCAAAGCGAAGCCCGATCTCCTTGCATGGGAGTAAACTGTCCTCTTCTGGGTTATACTCATATAACGTTCTCATGTAACACTAATAAAAGGAAAATTAAATTGTATCTGTGCCGACTCTTCTAAGTAGGGCGACAACGACACTCACAGTGAGTTTTTTGGTGACTCCGTTTACTCCATTCATCACAATCGACTCGTGGGTTTCGCTGCTCTGCACGTTGCCCACTTTAAGAGTGACCGAATCTTTGCTCTTTGCCACCTCCACCTGCAGGTCTTCAGGCGTCCTCACCTGATTGCCGTTCACCTCCAAAATAACGTCCCCAATGTGCAACAGTCCCTGTTTTTCGATCATTCCTCCTTCCAGTATTCGGGCGATCACCAAGTTGTCGTTTTCATTGATTTGAACCTACGAATAAAGCGGTTTTGTATTGGATTTTTGGTAAACTAAATTTGCTTCTATCGCTTTAGAGGTTAGGAATTTCCGATATACATTAATGAGCAAAGGAGAGCTCTTGGCATTCTCTATCGAACTAGCTCTAATCACTATTCAGATAGTTTCAGCCCTTTTTGAGCTATAAATGAGAATGTACAAAAATTCGTCAAATTTTGCGTCTATCTTTTGGAGGTTAGAAATGTCGCTACATCTCTAAGAAGGAGAATATAGCTTTATAAGACCCTATCGAAACGGTTCAAAGGACTGTTGAGATATTTTTGACCGTTTCAGAGATATAAGCTGTTTTCTATCAATTTTTCTTTCTATCTCTTTAGAGGTTAGGAAATTATTCTTATAAAGGAAAAGATGAAACGACAGCTCTGGAAATGCTCAATCAAAAATATCGGGGTGGTTATCTAGCAAATTTCAACCATTTGCTAAATATTAATGGAATGGGACAAGAATATATGTTGTTGTAAATGTCAACGGTCCTATTTTTGCTTCTATTTCTTTAGAGGTTAAGAATTTCGTGCGAGGCCCAAGCAGTAAAATACTCTCCTTAAAGTACTAGTAGTAGTAAAGGAGTACTGGTTATCGAAAAACTCATTACGAGTAATTGGATATTTTCTACCGTTTCTGAGATTTGAAGACTTTAAACGTTGGTTATGATATGTTTGCTTATATCTCTTTGGAGGTTAGGAATTTTAGATAAAACCCAATTAGTAAAATATAGCTCTCGATGCGGGCTATCTAAAAGGTTCTTAATATTGATGGGATATTTCCAACCGTTTTGCTCATATGGTTCACTGAAGCTTTAAGACGCCTGGAAAGGGGCGAAGCCCTACATGAATCTTCAATTTTTTTACTACGAAAATCTAATTCAGACTTGCTCTTTCTCAAAGACGCTCAGAATTAATACGATATTGCAACCGTTTCCACTACAAATAGACCCAGAAAAATCGGGGGGTCCGCAAAAGTGGCGAAGCCCTAAATTTTGTCATGTCAGAAGGTAGCTATGGGCATGTGGAATTTAAATAGTCTTATCTTCAAACCAGCTTTTCCCAACTATTTTCGAGCTATTCACGAAGCAATGCGATTTTTTTGTCAATTTCTTTTGAGGTTACAAAATTTGCTATAAACTTAAGGAGCAAAAAGTAGCTTTTCAACAGCTTCATCAAAATAGTCCTGTTGGCTAATCAGATACTTCCAACTCTGTGCGAGATACAGACTCTTTTAGATGTGTACGTTCCTGTTTTTGCTTCTATCTTTTTAGAGGTTAGGAATATCTAATTATAGCCAAGTTGAAAAATTGAGCCCCTGAAACAGTCATTCAAACAGAACACACTGGATAAGCATATCTCGAATTGCTAGAGATAGAGCGAGTTGTAAATGTTGGCATTTTTGCTTCTATCTCCTTGGAGGTTAAGAATTTTAGATAAAACCCAATTAGTAAAATATAGCTCTCGATGCGGGCTATCGAAAAGATTCTTAATATTGATTTGATATTTCCAACCGTTTTGCTCATATGGTTCACTGAAGCTTTAAGACGCCTGGAAAGGGGCGAAGCCCTACTCAAAAATTCAATTTTTTTTACTACGAAAATCTAATTCGAACTTGCTCTTTCCCAAAGACACTCAGGATTAATACGATATGGCAACCGTTTCCACTTTAAATAGACCCAGAAAAATCTGGGGGTCCGCAAACGGGGCGAAGCCCTAATTTTTGTCACGTCAGAAGATAGCTATGGGCATGTGGAATTTAAATGATCTCATCTTCAAACCAGCTTTTCCGAACTGTTTTCGAGCTATTCACGAAGAAATGCGAATAGTTAGTCAATTTCTTTTGAGGTTAGAAAATTTGCTTTAAACTTAAGGAGCAAAAAGAAGCTTTTGAACTGCTTCATCGAAATAGTCCTGTTGGCTAATCAGATGCTTCCAACTTTGTGCGAGATACAGACTCTTTTAGATGTGTACGTTCCTGTTTTCGCTCCTATCTTTTTAGAGGTTAGGAATATCTAATCATAGCCAAGTGGAAAAATTGAGCCCCTGAAACAGACAATCGAACAGAACACACTGGACAAGCATATCTCGAATTGCTAGAGATAGAGCGAGTTGTAAATGTTGGCATTTTTGCTTCTATCTCCTTGGAGGTTAGGAATTTTAGATAAAACCCAATTAGTAAAATATAGCTCTCGATGCGGGCTATCGAAAAGGTTCTTAATATTGATGGGATGTTTCCAATCGTTTTGCTGAAATGGTTCACTGAAGCTTTAAGACGCCTGGAAAGGGGCGAAGCCCTACATGAATCTTCAATTTTTTTACTACGAAAATCTAATTCAGACTTGCTCTTTCTCAAAGACGCTCAGAATTAWTACGATATTGCAACCGTTTCCACTACAAATAGACCCAGAAAAATSGGGGGGTCCGCAAAAGTRGCGAAGCCCTAAATTTTGTCATGTCAGAAGATAGCTATGGGCATGTGGAATTTAAATGGTCTTATCTTCAAACCAGCTTTGACAACTATTTTCGAGCTATTCACGAAGAAATGCGAATTTTTAGTCAATTTATTTTGAGGTTAGAAAATTTGCTCTAAACTTAAGGAGCAAAAATACCTTTTCAAACGCTCTATTGAAATAGTTCTTTTGACTAATCAGATATTTTCAACCCTCTTTGAGATACAGACTGTTTTAGCTATTCAAGACCCTGTTTTGCTTCTATTTTTTTAGAGGTTAGGAATATCTGATCATACTCTAGTTTAAAAATTTAGGTCCTGAAACAGACAATCGAACAGAACACAATGAACAAGCATTTATCGAATCGCTACAGAGATAGAGCCAGTTGTAAATGTTGGCATTTTTGCTTCTATCTCTTTGGAGGTTACGAAATTGTATGAAAACTTAAGTGGCCAAAGATAGCAATACGAGCTATAGATTAAGTCATTACGACTAATTGGATATTTCTAAGTGTTTTTAACATGTAGACGCCTGAAAAGGGGCGAAGCCCTACTCCGATCTGCGACTTTTTATTCCAAAATTTAGTTCAGAAAATGTTCGTCATATTACTTGCAAGTGCAAAATTTGAAGCCGTTTGCAGCCTAAATGGGTTCAGAGAAAGGGTCAAATTTGCTTCAATCTTTTTAAGTTAGGAATTTTAAATCAAGCCCAAGTAGTAAAAAAGTCTTTTTGCCGAGATATTTAACCCTTTTGTAGCAAGAAAAGCGCTCAAGTCGTACTTTTGAAAAAGCCCCTTCGTTGTCAGGGCTTTCAGGGCCATGCAAAGAGGCAAAGCCCTATAAATTGTTATGCCAAATCACGCTTTTGGTCACTTTAAATAAAAAAGCCCCATCCTACAGCCAAAGAGCTTTGCGATCACGAAAAGTCCCAGATTGACCAAACAAAGACTGCATTCAGAACTTTGGCGTCTTTTTCACCACAGTATCATCAACTTCCGCTCTTCGAGGCTGAATATCTAATCAAACAACTTAAAAAGCCAGACAGCATCCCGCTGTTTGCAGACACCAACAAAGAAGCCTCTTAACACCTGACTTCCTCGTTCAAAGCCCCTTTTTTACCTGCCCGAACAGGTTCCACATGGCACTAGGTCTGTTGGGTAAACCGATTAAATCACCCTAATTATCATGAATTAGGGTGAATAAAATGGGCAGGGTTGTAGTTGGGGAATTTCGCTTTACTCACTGTTAGCCCCAAGGGTTCTCCATTCTTCTTCCTCACGCCCACCATTCGGATCGCGTCGTTCGTCATCCCGTTGGGGAACAGTTTGGGAGGTTCAGTCTTTGGCCTCGGTTTGGTATTTTGGGTACCGTCGGCTATCTGGTCGTGGCTCTCCAAAAGCCCCCTAAAAATTTTAAAATAAGTCAAAAACTAGCTTTTTTCCAAACAAAAATCAACAAAAAATTAGCAGCTAGAAGAGCAGAAAAGGAACACTGAAGATAAAAGAATCTGTTCTTCACTGTTGGATGTATGTTAATTAAAGAACACAGGATTATTTAAAACAGACGAAAGAAACAGACACAGCAGACCCACAACAACAAAGCAGAAGGAATGAAAACAGTCGGTTAATTGCAAACATTGACAACATTATTGTATGAAAACTGAACACGCAAAAATAAAATCACAACAGCCAAAAAAGCGAAAGAAGACGTTGCTGGAAGTCTTCAATTCCATGAAGGGAAACGAATGAACGAGGCAGAATAAGAATGAAAAAGGAACGAACACGAAGGAAAATGAAACCGAACAAACGAAAGCGAAAGAAGAGACTGCCCATGACTTAAAGCCCTAAATTGACCATTAAAAGATTAACAAGAAAAAACGCAAATTTACTCAATATCACAAAAACTTGTTTTTTTATTGTTAAAAAATGCACGAGCAACAAGTCAAAAAAGAGCAAACAAAATAATCCTTAAGAAGACCATGAGACAGCAATAAGAACCAAATTATGATTCCAAAAAATCCCAAGAATATTTAAAACAGACGAAAGCAGTAGTAGACACAAGAAACAAAGCAGAAACAATGAGAAAGTGTGTGTATTGAAAAACGGACACGATTCTTCAAAACAGAAGCAGGAAACAGAGAATGAATGAAGACTGAACAAAAAGCAAAAGAGGATACTGCAAAGTCACTCGTTATCATTTATCAAACAAACAGTTTATCGTTTAAAATCTGTAGTCAAAGGAAATGGGAAACTATATTTAAAACGAATGAACGACGCAGAATAAGAATAAAAACTGAACGAACAAGAATGAGAAAACAAACAGAATGCACGCAAAAAATAATCCTTAAGAAGACCATGAGACAGCAATAAGAACCAAATTATGATTCCAAAAAATCCCAAGAATATTTAAAACAGACGAAAG